ACAAAGTTTAAAGTTGAGTTAGTGCCCCGGGCTGCTGTAAGAAAGCACCACAAGCCACGGTGGCTTGAAACACAGAAATGTACTTCCCACCCCCTGGGCAGAGGCCTGAGGTCAGGGTGCCCCTGGACGCCTCCTCTGAGGGCTCTGGTGGAGCTCCTCACCTGCTCAGCCTCTAGGGCTCACAAGCCATGCGCAGCTCCTTGGCAGGAAACTCCAGCCTGGCCCTGGCTCTGTGCTAAGGCGGCTGTGTTCCCGGTCTTCCCACGGCCCCTGGGCATGCCTGGGGCTGGGTCTCCTCTCCTCATGAGGGCACCAGTCCTTTGGACCAGGGCCCACACTGCTCCTTCCTGGTCTCACCTTAACTCCTAACTACTAACGCAGTGACAAGGACACGTCCTGAGCTACCAGGGATTAGCCATGTCCCTGTGGGGGCAATTTAATTCACAACAAATATAATACACATTCTCACGTTCATCTTCCTGAATTTTAAACAATGTTAACCTTTAATCATATTTAATCTAGATTTAAAAATAAAATATTACTGGTAATTAAATAGCCCGAGTCTTCTTGTTGACACTTCTGATCTTGTTCTCTCCCTGGAGGGAATCTGCATCATGAATCCCATGTGAACATCCTTCCAGCCCAAGTTACTGTAATTTCACTACATAAATATGCAGACACAGGGTGTTACAAACAGTGCACCTTCCTCCTGTGTTTGCAGAAACTTGTATCAAATGCATCATCTTGTACACATCTCTCTGTAAGTAGCTTCTTTTCTCCTGAGCATTGCACGTTCATATTTAAAATGGGCCTTGAAGACAGCATAGAGATCGTGCACTGTACTTAGACCCTGCATGTTGAATATGGTTACTGACATGCTTGGATTAAAATCCACCTTCTTGTTTGCTATTTTATTTGTTCAATCTATTTTCCTGTTTTTGTCTCCTCAAGTTAATTTAGCCTTTTTTTCATTTTAATTTCTCTTCACCGATGACTTGTAAACTTTTCACGAAGTGTCCTCATGGTTGCCCTGTGGTTGCAATGTTCATCTTTAACTGCTCCGAGGACATCTTCCTGCAGTGTCCCACAGCTTCCCATGCAGTGGACACAGACGGCATTTCTTCCCAGAAGGCTCCAGGGATGAACCTACTTCTGAGCCCATTCAGGGTCTTGGCCAAATCCAGTTCCCTGTGGTTGCAGGACTTAGGTTTCTGCCCTCGCAGCTGTTAGGCAGGCCGGCCAGCTCCTGGAGGCTGCCCAGTTCTTCTCCTTGCTTTTCAAGGGCCTTTAGCAATGGGCAGCCAGGCTTGTCCATGCTTGGGCTCTCTGACCACTTCCGCTGCACCTTATGGACCTCAACTAAAGAGAGTTCTGTTTTTAAAGGCTTATGTAATTGCCTTTGTCCCACCCTGGTGATGCAGAAAAAACCTGAAAACTCCCTTTTGTATCTACTCACAGGTTCCAAGAATCAAAGCCCAAATGTGTTAAGGGACGGGGACACTCTGCCAACTACTGATGTCACAGACCTTGTGTCTCAAGGATCTCCTTTAACATTTCTTGGAATGTACATCTGCTGACAACAAATTCTCTTGATTTTGTTTATTTCTGCTTTGTTTTAAAGATTCTTTGCTGAGCTGGGTGCAGTAGCACACTCTTGTAATCCCAATAGCTTAAGAGGCTGAGGCAGGAGGATGATAAGTTCAAAGACAGCTTCAGCAATTTAGCAAGGCCCTAAACAACTCAGTGAGATCCTGTCTCTGCAAAAAAAACATAAAAAAGGGCTGTGATGTTGATCAGTGGTTAAGCATCCCTGCCACCAAAGGGGGAAAAAAGAGATAATTTTGCTGGGTATAAAATTCTTAGTTTCCATATCTCTTTCTTTTAGAGTCTTAAAAAAAAAAAAAAGCTGTTCCCTTGTTGTCTGGCTCACAGGAAAGGTTTTTGGTGTTTTTGTTGTTGGTTTTTTTTTTTTGTTGTTGTTGTTGTTGTTTTGTTTTTTTGGTTTTTTTTTTATGTGGAATGGGGAATTGGACCAGGGGTGCTTAGTCACTGAGTCACATCCTAATCCCTTTTTTGAAAATTTGTAATTTTGAGACAGGGTCTCACTAAGTCGCATAGGGACTGGCTAAATTGCTGCAGCTGGCCTTGAACTGGTGACTCTCTTGCATCAGCCTCCTGAGTTCCTGGGATTAGAGGCATGCACCACCATGCCCAGCTTCACTTGGTTTTAGATGAGAAGTCTGATGTAATTCTTACGTTTGTTCCTCTGTATGTTACATGCCTTTTCTTCTTCTTCTTCTTTTGATATTGAGGATTGAACCAAGAAGCACTTACTACTGAGCCACATCCCCAACGTTCTTATGTTTTTTGGTTTTTTTTGAGTTAGGGTTTTACCAAGTTGCTTTGAGCCTTGCTAGGTTGTTGAGGCTGGTCTCAAAAGTGTGATCCTCCTTTCTCATCCTCCTGAGCTGCTGGGATTTAGGTGTGCGCCACAGTACTAGCTTAGGTCTTTTTTCTGACTACTTTTCTCTTTGTCACTTTGACAGCTACAATATTACATACTTAATTGTAGATTCTGGTGTTCTCTGAGCTTTGGGGGCCCTGATTTGTTGCTAGCCATTCATTTTAGAATATTGTCAGGCATCATTTTCTTTTTTTCTGTTTTTCTGTCGGTGTTCCTGGCATTCCAATAGCACATTTGTCGGATATTTTGCCACAGCTCTTGGACTTTCTCTTCCATCTTTTCCTTCTAATTCTGTTCTTTGTGTTTCATTTTGGATAAGCTTACCGATTTCTTCCTTGGCTGTGGCAGTTCAATGCTGAGCTCTTCAAAGGCATTCTTCAGTTACTATTCATTTTACTGGTACCAGGGGTCGAACCCAGGAGCCCTTAGCCACTGAGCCGCATCCCCAGGGTCTCAGTAAGTTGCTTGGGGCCTCACTAAGCAGCTGGGGCTGGCTGGTGCGTTTCATTCTTAGCATTTGCCAACAGTTCCTTCCGGGGCGTTTGTACACCTCATACAGAAATTATAAAATGTAGACTTTTATCACCTTGTGCTCTTAGTCCCTCCTCCCAACCTCTGAGCTCCTGTCATCCGTGCTGCAGGTAAGTGTAAAGTGCACTTGACGTCACTACGACTTTTGCCGGGTGCATATACAGGAAGAGAGAGAAAAAGGGGAGACGCAGGTGAAGAGGGGTCTTGCCTTCTTGTAAGGACACTCATCCCATCAAGAAGCCCCCTCATGGCCCCTCTCTTACCACCCCAAAGCCCCGCCTCCGAACACCTTCATGTTGGGGGTTAGGCTTCAACGTTTGGCTTTGGGACAACACAAATACCCAGTCTTGACTTTACTCCTGTGATGTCACCAGTTGTCCTTCTTGGTCATTAGCGCCTTCGATGTGTTAACGGTGGTTGTTTAAATGTATTGTTATGTAGTCCCAGCACTCGGTGGTACTTTGGATCTGTGGACTTCTTGGTCTCTGGCATGTGTTGTTTTTCTTCTCTCTTTGCCTGCATCATGCTGTTGAGTGCCAGACACCCTGGACGGGGCAGGAGAGAGGGTAAGGTTTGGGAGCGAGCAGGTCTTTGCTTCTGCCAGGACAGGAGTTGGGCCAGTCTGCACTGGTTTTGCTCCCTCTGTCCTTTGGACCCCATGAACCTGAATTGGGCCTAGAGCTACTTGTGTTCAGGAGGGGCGGGTTGGCCGGAGGCCTTCTCGGTGCTGAAAACCCTCAGCGTGAGGTCTTCCCTTGGCTGGGGTCTTGGTGAGAGCCTCTGCTGCCGGCAGGGCTGGCAGAGGCGGCCCTGGTGGAGGGGAGACAGGACGGCAGTTTCTGCACTATGCCTCAGGCTCAGGCTCTGGTCTCCTAGGTGTGGCGGCCCTCCGCGGCTGTCGTTGTGTCCCATGCACACTGCAGAGTGCTGGGCCCCCCTCCTGCCCCCTCCTGCCTGGGTGCTCTCAAATGCTGAGTCAGGGAACTGCTGTGCTGCCCTCCCCCGCAGCAAGCTTCTGTCCCCCAGCAGAGATGAGAGCCCGGTGGATGGTGCCCTGCTCAGCGCTGGCCGGTGGGCAGTCGGGTGGTAGGACCTCGTCTTGAAGTGTACTTGCCATCCCCGATTCCCACGAGATGGGCATCTCCTCACATCTCTCTTGGCCTTTCTGAGTTTTCTTTTCACCAACCCAGGTGCTTAGAAAGGACCTTTATACGCAGAATGTCTCTAGAAAGACACGGAAAGCCGCAGGGTCAGGGTGACCGGAGGAGCAGGTTAGAAGCAGATTGTTTTAATGTTTCACTTTCTGATGTTAAAAAATATATGTATTTTTAAAATAGGTAGAAGAAAGAATTTTGAATGTTTTCACCATAAATAAATGGTACTCAGCTCCTCATGGGCCTGGGGCAGCTCCCAGTTTGGGCTTTTACTGATGCGCAGCGTGGACTTCTAGTGGGTGCCTTGGTGAGTGCGTGCGCTCTGCTAGGTGGGGACACACGCTCTCTCATAGACAGCCCGGCTTACTAACTCGGTCCCCAGTGTCACCTTGCTTGTAGCTAAAGTTACCAGAGTCTACCTGACGGGTCACTGTGCAGATTGGCACCACAGCACTGGGCCTGTGTGTAAGGGCAGTGACACACTGGTGCTGCCCTGGGCTGCTCTGCAGGTTCCCTGCCTCCAAGGCCACCCAGAGCCCGCTGACTCTGAGGGTCGAAGGAGGGCCACCCGGGAGCGCGCAGCAGGGTGCCGCCACAGGAAGGATCAGTGCTTCTGAGCAGCAGCTTCTGTAGAGCAGCCTCTGAGGTGGGCCTGGCCTGGAGACGCAGGAGAGGGGGGTCTTCCTGATGGGAATGTTCTAGACCTTGGCCTCAGGGGGGCACGGGCACACAGGCTGCACCCTGACCTTCGACACGCCACTCTGCGCTGCGGTGGGTTGGCCTCTGTCACCGAGCGACTGAGCCCCTCCCTCAGCGGGCACCAGATTTCACCTGAGCCAGGGAACCCCAGGGTCAGAGCAGGGAGACGTGGTGCTGGTGGCGCAGCCCGGGGTGGACAGGCTGGGCAGGGCTTCTTCGGCACCTCCCTTGCTGGGCAGGGAGGCCCCGCCCGTGCTCAGAAAGTTGCAGGACCTCTCATGGAGGCCAGAGCGTGAGCCTCCTGTTCCCGACAACCAGCAGAAGGAACTTTCCAGTTAGCTAAGGAAAGGTGTCCGCTGCGGACAGGCCCATGCTGGGCTGGCCAGGAGGGAAAGCCAGCTGCCCAGCCAGACTTGGAACAATGCTCAGCTGCTGAGTAAAAACAGATGCCGCTTCCCGTTACAGAATGAGCTGCCGGCCCGGCCCCAGGGCCAGGCTTCTCCTCCCAGAGGATCAGCTTCGCCAGGCAGAAGCCAATGAGAGGACCCCACCTCCTCACCCCCGCTGAGTGCCTCCTGGGAGGGGCCGGGAGGGCTGGCTTCCTGCTGAGCTAGACTCCGCACTGGCCTCTTCCTGTTAGGGCTGGGAAAGCCAGGGCCAGGCAGCTGGGGCTCTGTCTGGGGCGCTTGCAGAGCGAGGTCTGTGCAGGGACACTTTCTTTTCCTTAGCTGCGGGGCTCGGCTGCCTGTGATGGCGTGACTGCAGCCTCAGTGCCCACTGAGGTAGCTTTTCTTGCTCTTGCTCTGGAAGGTGCTGTTCGCCTCCTCGCGGACGAACCACCGATATCTCCAGCAAGACCAGCTCGGGCCAGCCTGACGCTGCCAGCCCGACAGCCAGGCACAGAGTAGGTACCCAGCAGTCCGCAGCTGGGGTGGGGGGCAGGGGGGCTGCCTCAGGGTTCTCTGGGACTGTGCCCCCCCACGCCCCCTGTCCCCTGCAGCCCACGCTCTCCCCTCCGACCGGCGCCCTCTTCAGTGGCTTTCACCCAGAGCTTGATTTCCTTCACATCTCCGCAGCCGCCCCGAACAGCACCAGGACAGGTGGCAATGCCCTCTCTGTTTCGGCAGCTTGGGTTTGATTCATGGGGAATTAGACCCAAAGCAGCCATGGGCTCTCAGAGGCTGCTCCCCGCCAGGGGACCCCATGCACTGTGCTGGCTCTCACACAGCCCCTCGGGCAGCCTGGAGACCGCCAAGGTGTGGAGGAGGCGTTCCAGGTGCGAGGCTCGGCAGCACCGCCCAGCACTGTGGAGCCCCCCAACAGCCCCGGGCAGCTGCTGAGACCAGAAGGTCACCTGCTGGTGCCGGGGCTGATGGCCACCTTCACACCTGGAGTCCCGCAGTCCCGGGGGCCTGTCCTCTCAGGATCCACCCCCCTAAGGTCTCCACAGGCTCCTCCCAGGGGGCAGTTCTCTGTCTTCCAGACCCTGACAGCTTCCCAGAGCCCTGGGCGTCCCTCCTTCAGAACCTTTGTGACTGATTTCCAGAAGGGACTGAGGTGGTGCCTCTGTTGGACGCTGGCCCTTCTCAGCTCCTGGCAGCAGGGGTGCGTGTGGCCAGGTGTCTCTGCTCTGTGATGGTGACCTTGATCTTGGGGACAGTTCCCCTGCGGGGTCTCTCCGGTGAAGCTACCACTTTCCTTTTGCAGTTAGTATATGGTGGGGAGACTCTTGGAGACTCTGCAAATACCCTGTTTCTGACCCAACTATGGATGTGTCCAGTGTCTCCTGACTTGTGGTATTTGCCGTATTCTGTTTTAAAATAATTTTTTAAATGATCGGTATCTCCCAGCCAGGAATAGTGGTGCACACCTCTAATCCCAGTGACTCAGGAGGCTGAGGCAGGAGGATGGGCAACTTCATGGCCAGCCTCGGCAACTTAGCAAGACCCTGTCTCAAAAAATAAATAATTTTTAAACGAAAAGGACTGATGGTATAGCTCAGTGGTAGGGTCTAACCCCCAGTCCTGGGTTCATCCCCAGAATCACAACAAGCAAAACAAGATTGATACCTCGCTGTGTGTCTAAGGAAAAATACAACACAGAACACATTCCTAACAAAAAATGGCTGATTAAAATCGATGGTTTTGTGATACTGATTGGATGTAGGACCTCATGCCAGGGAGACTCTCTACCATGGAGCTACATTTAAAAATGAAAATTTTAAAAATTTGAGACAGGGTCTTGCTAAAGTTTGATCCTCCTGCCTCAGCCTCCAGGGGAGCTGGGCTGCCAACTGTGCACCTCCATGTCCAGATAAAATGAAAATTTTTGATGGGAAAACGGTAACTAACCTCACAGACCAGGATCAAAGGCCAGGATCCGGACCAAGACCACAGGAATCTCAGCCACAGGACATCACACCCTCATCCTTGGGCAGAGTCTCAGAACCAACCCTCTGGGAGCCAGAGCCTGCCTGGTGCTCACAGAGGTGGGTCCCAGGATGGCTCCCAGAGGTGGACTCCAGGTGGACTCCACATCCATTAAAGACAGACAGAAGCAGAGGTGGAGTAGAGAAGCATATTGACTTTGTGACAAGGTGGAGGGTGACTATGAGATATTTTGTAGCACAGAATTGTTCTAGTTAAATTGTAACAAGGAAGTTAAAAGAGTCTTGAATTTAAGGATGAATCGTGTAGTTGCTTTTTAAAAAAAAAGAATTGTTCAGAATTTGTGCTCTATCATTGGGAACAAACGGCTGTCAGAAGCAAGCTTCTTGGCAGATATTAAAGGAGTAACAATAAACACTGTTAATTTGTACTTTCAAGATAAAATTGATTAAAATAATAAGAAATTAACATCTTCTGGGAAAAAAAAAACTTGTGAAAATCTTTTGAAAACAGATGGGCTGATTTTTTTTTTTACAGTCACCAAAAATAATGAGTGTCACCAACAAAAAGTTCTCCTGTCTGCAGAGTTGGAAATGGAGATGTCATTTTCTACTTGTTCTTCCCCTGGGTGGTGGGTTGTGATTCCATTTGTTAACAGATATCCCCGTGCCACCTGGCGTGAAGCTGCCCGCTGAGGTGCCCGAGAGGCTCCCAGAGTTGGCGGATGGGACTGGAACGTGAACACACAAGCCAGCGAGTCCCGGTCACTGCTGGGACTGCTGCTTCCAGAAGTCCAGAAAGCCTGACCCCCTGAAGGTCAAGAGCCCAACCCAACCGAGCAGCAGGCACCCCACGCCTGCCAGGAAAGGCCCCAGAGCCCAGCAGCGGGCGGCTCACTCCGCAGAAGCCCAGAAAGGGCTTTGTGGGTGATCCACAGGGAGTTCACGTGCGTCTGGGTGTCCGGGTCACACTCTGCGCTTGCCGTCGTTGGTCCACGACACACTGGGTTGGCACGGCAGTGCACACGCAGGTGAGGTGAATACAGGGGTCGTGTTGGCACAGTGTCCGTGCATATGACATATTTACACAGAGGAGGCGTTCTTGAGTACTGTCGCTGACGGGGTGTGGGTAAACATGTCCACAGGCCGCTGCTCCGAAGGTGGGGAATGCAGGGAGCAGCTCACTTGCCCACACCCAAAGAGTGGACGACGAGACGCGAGGCTCAGCAAAAAGTGAGGCTTGCCAACTGGGTGTCTGGGGAGCAGGCCCCCGAGCGGCCCCTGTGCGCCAGGCCCCTGTCCCGGCTCCTCGCTGGCTGAGTGCTGTGGGGCACAGTCTTCCTGAAGTGGCCTGGGTTTTACCGTCTCCTGTTGGGTGCTTTGAAGACATGTACCTTCAGCTGTCCCCCCTCCCTCTGTTCCCGTGGTGGGAGGGCCTTCTTGGGCCCGTGTCCCCTCACCTCCTGTCCAGGGGCTGTGAATCTGTCACACTTTGGTGTTAAGGGCTGCAACCCTTTGTTCTATCCCCCCGGTAATTTTGCATTTAAAGCTAAATACTGTGTTTTCAAACTGGACCACCAGACTTTTGATCCTCACAGTGAACAAAGTCCATCTCACTGTATTTCAGTGTGTGCTTTCCACACACATTATCTCATTTAGTTCTCACAACAGTGAGAGGCAGATAACGAGTGAGCAGGGACCAGATCCAGGTTCAGCTCAAGAAACCTGAGACGTGAGGCGTTAAGAAAGCAGTTCTGGTTTAACGGCAGAAAGGGACTTACCAGGACCCAAAACCTGATCCTGTGACGCTTTCCAGCACATCATTCTGCCTCAGAGCGGGGACGGTCCTCAGGGCTTCCGGTGTGTTCTGGTGGACACTTCTCCCAGGGGGGCTGCAGTTGCGAGTCACCACTGGCCTCCTGGAGAGGTGTGTTGATGCCCCTGTGCCTGGAGCCCAGGGGTGGAGGGGCGAGCTGGCAAATGCCCACCAGCAAACCAGCTGTGCCCGCTCCTGGGCACCCGGAGGGCAGCCGTTCTCACCCGCGGGCACGGAGTCAGACCCGTGTGGATGGCAGCTCCAGTGCCATCTCCGCTTACCGTGTGGCACAGCCATTGCCACAAGAACCCCTTCAACTGGGTGTTGTCACTCCCTTCCCAACGAGGGGAGAACTCGGGCTCAGAGAAGCTGACTTGCCGAAGGTCCCCAGGGAGGCGGCCGCCGAGCCAGGCCCTGGTCGCTCTGTCCACGGGAGACCCCAGGAGGGGCAGCAGAACCCACGTCCCTCCTGCTGCCCCAGGACACCTCCAGAAGTGCTCTGGGAAGGAGGTGCACTGCAGAGGAGCGGGCGGCCACTGTCACCCACGTGTGCCCACCTCTCCTCAACGTATTGGGCAGACGAGTGGCATTTGTGACAGAGACATGGGTCACAGCTAGGCCTGCTTTCTGCGGGTGGAGAGGACAAGTGGGCTGGACACCGCACCACAGAAGTCGGCCCGGTCGTGGCAGGTACTCAGCGGGATGTGCAGTCCAGAGGTCCTGATGCTCACAGCCGTCCAGGAGACAGGGAGCGAGGCCCAGGAGGAAACCACGTGCCCTCCCAGGCCTCGGACACCCCCCATGACTGCTCCTCCACGCCCTTGGTTCCTGCCGGTGGCTCTGCCCTGCACACCCACGGGTACCAGACTGAGGGGCCGCCGTACAGCATGTGTGCACACGCACTGCACAGACATGCGTCTACACAGGCCACGTGTTGTCGCAGCCCCATTTTGCAGTCTCTGGATTGCCAGGCGAGTCCGGCTGCTACAGGCAGGCAGGCCTCTGGCCTTGCCTCGCCGCCTCCTCCTCTGAGTGGAGGCTGCACAGCCTCAGCCCCGTTCCGGGCCGCCTGCTCCTTCTGTGTGCATCGCTGCTCATCACCCGGGACACAGGCTCTGATCCCGAGCTCCAGCCTGCTGCTTCAACCACTGCTGCACTGTCTTCCTAGTTAATCCAGCACAGGGGGGGTGGAGGGGAGGGGGGGGGGGGTGGGGGGCCAAGGAT